AAACAACAACGACGGGATAGTATTCAGCACTGGTCTATAGAGACTCAAATATACATTAGTAATTCGTTATGGCTACATAAATGTACATGTTTTCAGAAAAAAATAGAAAATAGTTTGCAAATATTCGAAATGGTTACAAAAAGTACAGATGCTTGGTATGTTGTGTGGATTGTAAGAAAACAATAGCAGCTGGACCCTCGTCTCCAAATTAGTTCAGCAAGAATGAAGCCACTGTTGCTGCATGACCTTTGTGCTCTTCGAATGTTCTCCCTGCAATCTCTTCGTCCAACTGTATTTTAGATACACTTGTGAATAGGCTTGTAAAGCAATTAAAATTGTTGGTCAATGAATGCCCTGTTCATTTGGCTGATAAGCCATGGCTGAAAGTACTATTGGCTGATTTACTGTGAAAGAAAAATACCGTTCGTTGGCTGAAAAAGTACGGCTTATAAGCCAAGCGAACAGGGTAGAAAATTTGGGATGAGCATTTCAAGCCAATTAGAAATAATTTCAACATCAGTAAGGTTGCCACTAACAACAGAGATAATCTAAACATCAGTGGGGATGATCTCAAAATATGGCATAATACTCTTTGAATGATAGAACCAAGAGTGACGCCTTCTGCAAATTAGAGGCATTTTATTCTTTCTCCTATAACAGATGGACTGAGCCTCAACTGATAGAATTAAAGTACATACGATTACTCACCTGCAAGTATTCAGAGTTGATCTCACCGTCACTGAATATAAATCTCTGTTGAACAGGGAGAGGTCTTAGTTAGGAGGGAAGCAACATAGGGGTCAACACGGACTCACCAATTCTGCTCATATAGAAGAATATAACAGCATTAACAAACAAAAACATGCAGTACCTTGAGAAGGAAATTTTCTTGTTGAAAGAGACTTATCAAGTCCGTTGTGCCATGTGCACAAGGTAAACAAAGATATGGTGTAAAAAACTGAACTACAAAAAAAATGAAGGTCAGAACAAAGCTAATAAGAATATATATGGTGTGTGAAAGTAGCGCTACTCACGCATATTTGGTGTGTGAAAGTACACATAAAAGTATTGTGACACAGTATAACTTGAAAATAAAAATGAACTTTTACCATAAATTAGTCATTTCATTGTTAGAAAAATTATCCAAGATACAATCGACGCAAGAAAAAGAGTGTAAGGGCCTGTTTGATCCTATCAATTGAAACCAATGTCTAAAGAATGTTTTTCTTTTCATTATTAGATTCCTAATTTCTCTCAATTCCTTGGAAGCAAACAGACCTTAAGTAGTAATATTTGAAGAACATCTCTCTCCTTGGCATCCAATCTCTGTTGGGCGGAATACCATTTACAGACATGCATGAAACATAATCAAGGATGCATAGAATGCAGATCCAATTAACATCTAAGGTAACTGGTTGGCAATTCCAAAGCTAAACTCAAAGGATGCACTGAAAATCCATTCACTTAAAGAGCGATGGTAAGGTATGAGGTATGACAGTGAGCAATAAAACGAATTGAATCGTAGCAGAGTACATGTTGTCCAGAATGGCAGGTCAGTGTCATGTGCGATCAACACGCATTACAACACCCTTTCCACAATCTGAAAAGGAAATGACCTGAAATCAAAGGGAAAAAACATCTCAGTTGAGATTGGATCAGTCATGAAATAGCAATTGTATGAAGACATGGGACTAATATACAAAGCAGGTTGTTTGTCCCAACTTCACAGGTGAATGCAAATAATATTGCTTTGTGCTGTAACTGTTTGTAAATATCAAGAACATAGAGGCTGGCATAAGAAACATTAAGAACCAAAGGTCACACTGAGTCTGTTTCATATAAATTGTAATCTGCACAAAGAAAGAAAAAGACAGTAAATGTTATTGGGTACATAAAATTTTCAGTTAACAGAAGCAAAGTTATAAGACATAGCTTCAGTGTTACCTAATAAGAGGCTGGCAAGTGGCAACAACAAAGAACAGTTCATTGCCCTCACCAATTAGTTTGTATGAACTCTGGAAATACCTATTCTATCATATTTTGGCAATAGGATTTAGCTAGCTATTGCACAATGTATATGAAAGGAAAAATGATGTAAAGTCATTAAGGTAATAAACTAATCTATCATCTATTATACTCAATAGAAATTAAACGTTATTTACAAACTCTCAATCTCTAAACATTTGTCACTCAAAATCTCATAGCCAGAATCTAAAAATGACAGGCAACACAGGGAGCAAGACGACAAATGCCGACACAGATGTGAGATCTCTGAATGTTTTGTAGATTGGGGGGTTGCGGTGGGATCAAACAGGAAGAGGAATACATCTGAAAGAGTACTTTGTATAGACTTATCTTAGGCAAGTTTCATCTAAATACACTACACTGCTACAATGGTGCAAATGAAATCTGGATAATATACAAAATAGCTAAATATATACAATACCTTAACATGTCGAAGAAATCACATATGCTTTCACCTGTCAGCGCTTAATAGGATATTTCTTTGTCAATTAATGGCGCAGGTATCCTAGGTGCAAAGAAACATCGTGAAAGCACCATAGATCAGAGAAAGCACAATAATTGATGAGGCATAAAACTTTCATATGGTAAAGCAAATATACGAACCTGAGAGCGGTAGATTTCCCAGATAAACCACAATAGGTATGTGAATATAATTAGTTCCCGTCAAAGCAACCAAAGTGCACAACTTAAGTAACGAATTTGGAGTTTATGCACGGTAGAAGTTGTACAAAACAGGGGAGGGGACCGGAGCAACCTTTTTGTGCGGCCCCGGTAGTGAACGCTGAACGACTGATTTCGCCCATTCTTGCAAGCAACAAAGACGTCGACTAAATCTGAAAGGAGGAAGGAATGAGGTGATAAACCGTTGTTACCTCTCGGCTAGGCTAGATGATGGGCTTTATGCGCGAGGCAAAATTTGGAGGCAAGTTACGGGTGGGGAAGGGAGCGACCTCATCGAGGGGGCCAGCCCGGAAAGGTGAGTAGAAGACTTGCGGCAATATGAACCCACAACCGTGGGTGGCACCGCGTCGAAAGCTACCCCAATCTGTTGTGGTGGGCAACCTTATCCCAATCTGCTGCGTTCGACGACCTCATTGAGAAGAAAACTGCTGGGAAACGAACAGAGAAGCCGAAGAACTGAATATTACTCACCTCGTGGAGAGCAGATGCTCCGCGGATCGGCGGCGAATCCTCGCTTGCTGGCATGGATCCGAGCCCTTAGCCAGCCGGTAGAATCGCACCTCGAAGGCCGCCATGACCCCTTAGCCACGGATGTAGCCATCGAGCGTCGAGCGGCAAGGCGTAGTGGTGAGGCAGGAGGAGCTGTGGTCACCGGGGACCTTGCACCGCCTGTGGGGAAGAACGCGAGGAGGCGGCGACAGCGAGTCGGCCGGGCGCGGCATCTGCGCAAACTGCAGCTTGGGGAGAGGCGGCGACGGCAAGTCGGCTGGCGCGACATCTGCGCACACTGCGGCTGGGGCAGAGAAAGAAGAAGAGGACGGAGACGGAGGGGGCGAGGCGCGATTGTATTTTTCTATCACAGGAGCTTAGGGCCGAGGGGAGAGGAAGAGGATAAAGCGCTCTCGTTACAACGGAGAGAGCGAGGGTCAGCAGGAGGGCCCGCCCAATTAAACGGAGCGAGACCAAATCGAGGACTGCACACGCACGAGTCCACGTGGCTGCATACGATTGGTGAATAGTAACAAAACAGTAACCAGATCGCTCTCAACGCGCGGATTCTAGGAGCTATATGGTGTTTCATGTATGCGCCCCGCCCGCCTTGGCGCCTCAGGGCACCAGCAACATAGGCTAACAGAGCCTTGTTACCCTCAACCAAAAATTATGGTACACATAGACGAGGCTGAGTCTGAGGCACTCGTCTCCTAACGCGGGCATACAGTTTAGTGGAGAATCTTTTCACAATCCTTTCCCATCACATCTTTCTTTATTCTTAATTTGTTGTGGTCCCAAGCAAGTACGGGTGTCTTTTTTCTCCACAATCGCGAGTGCTGCTTCAACTTTTGTCAGACGGGGCATACGACGCTTCTGCAGGCGCTACCAACGCCGGAAACATCTAATTTGTCGAGTGTTTTTACGTTTGTCAAGTGTATTTTTTTTGACACTCGGCAAACAAATTCTTTGTCTAGTGCTGTGCTAAAAATACTCGGCAAAACAAAAACCCTCGGCAAAATAGGGGGTTTGTCGAGTGTAAAAAAACACTCGGCAAAGAGGGGGTTTACCGAGTGTCTAAAAATAAACACTCGGCAAAGAGAGGGTTTGCCGACTGTCAAAAAGAAACGCTCGGCAAAGATGAAAAAAAGCACGCCGCATAAAAAAATCCCCTCCCGTTCCCACCCTCGACTCCCTCTCGCCCTAGCTCGCTCCCTCCCTGGATCCCACCGTGCTCCTCCCTGCGCCCCATCGGCGGTCGGCCCCTCCCTCTCCTTCCCCGGCGCCGCCCTCTCTTCCCCGGCGGCCGGCCCCTCCCTCTCCTTCCCCGCCGCCCCTCTCTCTCCCCGGATCCAGCCGCCGCGCCCCCTCCCCTCCGGATCATGCCCCGCCGCCTCCCTCCCTCCCACCGGCGCTGCCGCCTCCCTCCCTCCCTCTCCTTCCCCGCCGCCTCCCTCCCTCCCGGATTTTCCCGCATCCGGCCGCCGCGCCGCCCCTCCCCTCCAGATCCGGCCCCGCCGCCTCCCACCACGCCCACCCACGACGCTGCTGCCGCCTGAGGGCGACGCGGACTGGGCGGAGGCGGCAGCGGGGGGTCACCGAAGAGGTGGTCGCGTTCGCGCGGGACGCAGCCTCGCGGCCCGAGCTGTGGCTCGACTTCCCCATCCTCCCCGACGACACCGACTCCGATGGTTCGTGGCTTCATGCTATCCTTTCTTGCCTCCCCCAGAGGCTCTTCTTCATCGGTGTCGGTTGAGATGAACTAATTGTCAGTTGCATTGTTGACTTGAAGTGCATATTTTGACATGACTGATGCGCAGCAAGATCACGCCCTGGCCGTGGAAAGCTTGGCGCCCGAGCTGGCTGATCTGAGGATCGAGCTCTGCCCCAGCCACATGAGCGAGGGCTGCTTCTGGAAGATATACTTCGTGCTGCTGCATCCTAAGCTCAGGAAGCATGATGCTGAGATTTTATCCACTTCACAGGTGATTTTCCTTGACATCTTAAGTTCAACACTTAAACGAGTTAGTAATACAAGTTCACTAGCTAAGTAGTAAGTACCTGGGGATTTTCCTTCATGCTAGTTAACTAAGTTAGTTGTCTTTGATGATTCAGTAGTAAAGTTCACCTTGGACCAATATCAGCCTAAAATTTGTTAGCTGAGGTGAGTAAAGGAATGTGAATCAGATGCTGGATCAGATTAGTTATTAAATTGAGACTGTATTGTGTTTCACATTTTGATATTTGCTACATTGTATTTGGAATCATGGAATATTGCGGTGGCAAGAAACTTAAGTGCTTGTGATTGCTTTGCACTTTGATTTGGTATATCTTGCACCTAAGGTTTTGTGTCCTGGTAAGGCAATCATGCTTGTTTGAGAACTGCGATAGTATCCATGAGAATATTGTCAAAATTTGGTATATCTGAAACTTGATCATTAGTTTGACACTTTGACCTCACTCTGGAATTTGATTTCAAAACATTAATTTCTTCGATTTTCAAAAATCATAAAAATATATTGGTTAATCATAGCCTCATGCGGCACACTTATGCACATTCTCAAGCTTTGTGCTTCTGTGCCTGCCATGGAACCTATCCTTTTTGTCGGATAAGATCATGAAGCCTTTACTTATCAAAGTGTCACAAATGCAGTGGATTATAATCCGAATCCAACACCTCATTCATGTCATCTAAGCTAGTGAAACCTTCCTACATTCCCTTCCTCCTGCCTAAAAGTGAAACTAATTTGCATTTTTTTTTTTTTTTGCTTCCTTTGCTCTTCCAACGGAGTGGAGTTAAATCACATTGCACTAGGCCAACAGTTTGAAATTGGCTCACCATAATTTATAGCTAAATTGATTCGTTGTGATTGTTATCCTCCCTGGAATCTATGCTTTAAATATTGATATATTGACAGAAAGTCTAATGTTTCTGATGCTTTAGTAGTTTATATTAAATTTTCTTTCTTGCAAGTCATGATGGGTTAGCCATCCCAATACATCCCTAGTTTGAATGGGACTAGCTTGTTCTGGACACCTCAAGTGGTTCGTTATATTCTACTAATTTTCTATAATAACTGAGTGCTTTGTCCAGTTTTATTTGTTACTGTATTTCTATTGATTCAGTTTCTTCCTTAGTACAATTTTGTTCCCAGAATGATGCTTTGCATGAGTCTGAACTCTGAAGTGCCATATGATGAAGTGAATAGCGGGAACATGTCAAATAGCAAACAGTCAGAATTAGGCATCAAGTGAATATTGACTCAACAAAAGCCATGGCCCATGGGACATAAAGTGCAATATGATGAAAATGATTAGCTCCTATGTTTGAATAATTCATTACACTTTTTAGCCCTCAGATGCATGCATGAGTCGTGAGAGGCAGATATATTGATAGAACATCATTTTCCATAGGCTCTGAATGCTTTAATAGTTTCTGCTGATGATTGTGCTTTCTTTCTAGTTATGATGTATCAACAGACCTTTTTATGTGTGCTGACTGCACAAAAGATAAGCTGGTATCTGCCAGCTCAAGACATTGTTTGCTAGCAGACTTCTTATCAGTTCCTGATTGCCTTGGCACAGATTTTGGAAGCTAGAGACAAGTTGTCACACGATTTGCAGTATCGGACGAAGTTACAAGGCAGCTATGGGGACACCGTACCTGTGCCTTTCAGCAATGAAGATGGTGTTTTAAGTTCTCCTGTAGAGGTTTTGGGTGTATTGAAGGCCCAAGATGGTGTTTTAAGTTCTCCTGTAGAGGTTTTGGGTGTACCTGTGCCTTTCAGCAATGAAGATGATATGTATGCAGATATGGTGTACTAAGAGTATTTTGTATGGCAGCTATTAAACTAAAATATGCTCAGAAAAAAAAATTTCTTTGGAAAATAGGTTTGCCGAGTGTAATTTCCAAAAAACACTCGGCTAACAGTAATGGTATGCTGAGAATTTTTTTTTTTTGGAAAATAGGTTTGCTGGGTGTAATTCTCAAAAACACTCGGCAAACAATAATACTTTGCCGAGTGTATTTTAGAAAAACACTCGGCGAATCACTTTTTTGCCGAATGTCAAATTTGACACTCGACAAACCATTTGCCAAGTACGCGATAAAAAACACTCGGCAAATAGCTGTTTGCCGACACTGTAGATGACGTGTGCTGTTTATCGAGTGTTACACTCGAGTGTTTTTTAATCTTTACCGAGTGCCTGTGACACACGGCAAAGTCACTGTTTCACTGTTTCCGGTAGTGTACTGACTGTCTGCGAGATCACTAGTCGCTGTGATCTAGACATCGGGTGCTGATATGGTGACTGAGGCAGTACGCCAACTTGGAGCGTTCGGGAAGCCAAGCCCTCAGTCCACCTCTGTCTGCCCCCATGCATGCGGTTCGCTGGTCTGGTAAAATCAGACTAGCCGGCTGATCCCCATCAGAAGCTACTATTCATCAACCAGCCGTTACAGTGTTTCTCTCTCACAAAACCAGCCAGTTTTAGCTAAGTTTCAGACCAACGAACGGGGCCATGACCCGCTCGCACGGAGGAGGGGGTAGTTCGGGGAGATAGCCTACGTGTGAACAAAGGAGCCGGGCCAAGCCTTTGTTTTTCGCTCCCAAGGAGAGTTCCGGCTCCAGAAAGCGGGAATAACGGACAAAGCGAAACGGAGCAAACGCCCCCTACCCCGTTTGGTTGGCTGAGCTTAGAAGCTAGGCGTGGAGTGGCAGGTAGAGCAGTACCAGACAGGTTTTAAACAATCTTAGGATAATTTCGTCCGCCCAGAAAATGAAATTTCAAAGTTCTTTTCCCAGTAAATGACATTATGTTGTTTCTGTAATTGAGCAGATCTAGGGTATAATCAGCCTGTTCGGCTGAGGCTGAAACGATCGTATACGATCGTGGATTATTACTGTTGGCTGGTTTGGTGTGAGAGAAAAATACCGTTCTGACTGGAAATTTACGATCGTTTACGATCAAGCGAACAGGCCGAATATCATTTCGAATGAAAAATGTATTAGAAAAAAAAATTGAAGCCCTACCTGGGCCTTACACAAGTAGGCTTAGCGCATTGGAATGATTGGCCATATCACTTGTCGTGTGGAAGCAATAATCGGAGTACGAGTCAGTGAGTCACTAATGGGCCATGACCCGGGCTGATGGTTTTCATATGGTATTTTTGTTGCCCGTACTGGCAGTATAGGACATTTGATTTGTCTCTTACTGGTGATGAGATCACTTTCACGGCAGGTTGTTCCCATTGAAACTTGAAAGGGATGGCGAGCTGATAGTTTTGCCGTCCGGTAAGAATGGTTCTATTTCCTCCACGCATAATAAGAACTTCAAATGACAAATTGGTACAAGCTCCAACGAACCTTGTATTTGGCACTTCTAATTTGCGTTGGAAATCACTGTTTATTGGTCCCGATTCCCGTATCTAAATAGATTTGCAATGGATTTGTTTAGTTAAAAGTATTGATAATTGTGAAGCTTTTGAACTCCATACAGTACGTGGTTGTTAATTCTGAAGCGAGAATTGGTACTACCATTAATGGTGTTCATAACACTTGAAACTTTTGGTAGCATAAGCCATAAAGTTAGATATGATCTGGGTCTTCAAATGGAATGACTGGAAAAAAATGATTAGGTGTTGACACTGGAAAAAAAAAGTCGTCTCAGGTGAAGTGAGGACGTTGTTGCCACTACATTTTATACCCCAGCCATCCCTGAAATCGAATCCAGCTACCGAGATGGCGCCAATCAACCGAAGTATTGTACGTCACAAACTCACCAATGTTGCTTTAAAAAAATTCTACTACGTTTTTTTTTATGTAGTACGGAGTATGTCACAATGAACATGGACGCACATACTTGACGCACGTACCGCGTGGACCTCCTCTCCCTGCTTCATTTTTTTTTTTTTTGGCCAGCCATCATGGAACATGAGCAGCACTACTCTCCGCTCGCATCTTCGTTCTTCACCCGAACAAGAAACTCTCGTACGCAAAACCTCGTATAAATGCCTCGCACAGCGACACGCAGGAAAAGTACCTGAGCTGATCGATTCAGCACCCAAATATGCCTCGTCATCGCTTCCCCTTCGCGTGCACGGCCACCGCGGCGCTCCTCCTCGCCGCCGTCGTGCTGGCCAGCGCGACCGCGACCGCCGACGCGAAGACGACGAGCCTGGCGTCGAGCTTCCTGGAGCCGCACAACGCGGCGCGGCGCGCGGTGGGGGTGCCCGCGCTGCGGTGGGACGAGCGCCTGGCGGCGTACGCGCGTTGGTACGCGGCGGCGCGGGCCGGCGACTGCAAGCTGGAGCACTCGCACGGGCGCGACGACTACGGGGAGAACCTCTTCCGCGGGAGCGGCGGCGCCGGGTGGACCCCCGCGGCCGTGGTGGGCGCCTGGGTCCAGGAGCGCGCGCTCTACGACCGGTCCACCAACTCCTGCCGCGGCGGTGGCGGCGCGTGCGGACACTACACCCAGGTCGTGTGGCGCGGCACCAAGGCCGTCGGGTGCGCGATGGCGCCCTGCGCCGGGGCACGCTTCACGTTCGCCGTGTGCAGCTACAGCCCGCCCGGCAACTACGTGGGCATCAGGCCCTACTGACAAGCAAGTCGTGCATGCCACATGTTGAGTACTTGCACCCAATTCTCTTTTTTTATACTTATTTTACGCCAAAACTTTTTACGGGGATAATGTGCATCCCCTCGGGTTTTTACTGTTCATCATTCTTTTCAAATTTGTTTGGATATAATGGACATGGATGAAATAAAAGGCGAATTCAAAATTTGGAATGGCACTTGCATGCAAGCCAATGTCTTGGTCTCTTGGAGACAGGCAGACAGACACAAACGTGGCCATCGCGCCAACAAATTTAGCCTGCAGCTGCAGGCCAGGTGTGCATGCACGACACGCTATTCAACTGCTGCGCTGCCGCGCGATCACCGTCGTTTAAAGCTCGCCGGCCCGGCACCAACCAACCATACGGTCATACTCCATTGAATCCCGATGCTTCTTCGCTGTACAAGTCGTTCGCCAGATGACCAGAACACACAGCGCAAATCAAGCATGCCCGGCCAGCTAGCTAGCCAATCAATAACCAGTGATTCTGTAGGCAAAAATAATCCTAGAGAATTTAGAAAACACAGCTATCCGCATATTGAGCTTAAAGTTCTTGTGCTTATCTGTAGCTTTTATTCGTATCTCTTATTTTGAACCGTATGCTATTAAAATAAATAATCTATATCCTAGACTTCATCTTAATTATTATTATGCTGCCATTAACAGTCTTTTAACTTCGATAAGCGACCACACCGCTCAAGATCAACGATGGAGCTTGAAGTGAGATCTAGGACGGACTAATAGTGCTAAGCGGATAATAACATTTAAACCTAACAATCACTGATTCACTGTCTACTGCAATGGAATTTTAGAAACCAAGAAGGCCGTGGCGACCGTCGGTCTGCATTAACCTCTCCTTCGTTGCTCAAGATATTAATTTTCCTCTGTCAAAGAATAATATGAGCATTAATATTTTTTATCAAAAGTATAGTGCTTATATTTATACTATCAATATATAGGGTATGCCATAATATCTTAGTGAAATGTTTAAAACTTAAAAAACTATTTTCATGGATACTAACATATAGTTTTAAATGATTTTAGATCATTGCTACATGAGTCGCTAAGAGATATTTCTCGTAAAAATGGGTTAACATGTATGTTTATTTGATATTAGTTTTTATGAATTAATTGTGACAAAAAATGGGTAAGAACATATATTGGCATAATTTAAGGTTATTTTATTTTTTCATAATAGTATATGTTGATAATTTAAATATAGGTTTAAGGGGATATTTTATTTTTATTTTATTTAAAAGGTAGTATTACATAATTTAGATGTAAATTTAAAAGGCTACTTAGATTATCTATCACTATGGTAGAATGAGCAATTTATATTCATATTTTGGGGTTACTTTAGGTTATGTTTCATAATGGCATAAATGGAAACTTATGCAAATTTAGGGATACATTATGTTCTGATAGTGGGAGAGGTGTATGATTTTTTTTTATAAAAACATATTAGACCCATGGCTATTATTATTAATGATGATCAAAGTCTACCAAATTGATGGTTGATCTTTCTCATTGTTGTGTGAATTTTTAGATTTTTTTTAGCATGTCTTGTGATGACTGATGAACGTAGGCCTCCGATTATTAACAGTATGACAGTTGTGGTCATCATTTGTTTCCTGTCAAAATTCAAAGCATTCCGGGCCAGCCTCAGGTTAACTTAACAGACAAGCCAAAAATGATGATAGAACTTGGAGCGTTTGAGGCATCAATTAGATTAGATTCTCTTTTCTTTATATTAACTACTCTTCCATGGATCATATGCGTGCTAATCATAACATATATACTCCGCATGTATGCAGGATATATATAGTATAATGGCTCCGTTCGCTTCGCTGAAAAAACAAGTCGAAACATTGTTTCGGCTGATTTGTTGTGAGAGAAAAACATTGTTCCAGCTAAAATAAACAAACTAAAAAAGACGGAATATAAGAGAAGCGAACGTGACCATAGATGTGATAATACCCCCACGCCCAGCAACTCCTTTGTTGCAAAAAGACGACGAGCAATTTATAAATTCTCAACACCCAGCAAGCATCGAGCTGTCTTCTCCTAACCCTGCGGCGATGTATTCCAAATGATCTGTATGCTAACAAGAAGGGTAGTAGTACCAGCTGCAGAAGAATGTCAAATTTGTCATACTCGTGCGCTGTGCAGGAGTGCAAGGGGCGGCCTCACCAGGAAAAAAAAAAGTCTTCGTCGACTCCTCTTGTTTCGGCGCATATTGGGCGGCGTGACGGCGTCCCCCTTGGCAGACAGCGATTGGCACGTTTCTGTCTCTTCGTTCGGTAATCAGTAGGTACGCACCAAACGTCCAAACCGAGACCTTCCTGACATGATCGCTGCTACTAGTATTTGTTGGGCATTTGGCACGGCTTACTCTGAATAATATATAAGTGCGTGTTTAGCTTTTAAAGAAACGGCATGTTTTGATGCCGAGTGCAACGTACGTTGTGATGACTTGAAAGTTGAAACACGGGGTCAGCTGCATGCGCATGGTGTTTATTTTAACCATGGCGACCTTCTTGACCGACCTCTGATTATATATACGCTTCCAAAACGGCGAGAGCTTAATGTGTCAAAGTTTCTGTTGGCAATGCCAATTCAGAGTTTCAGACTGAGCAGCATAACGCAGGGGAGGAAAAACGGTGCAGGCAAGTCAATGATAGTCTGACAGAGCAGTGACAGTAGGCAAACCACGACAAATTAGCCCTTGTTTAGTTGAGGGGAAAGTTGGAATTTGTTATCGTAGCACTTTCGTTTTTATTTGGTAATTAATGTTTAATCATGAACTAATTAGGCTCAAAACGTTCGTCTCGCAATTTCCACCAAATTGTGTAATTAGTTTTTTTCCATCTACATTTAATACTCCATACATATATCGCAAGATTCGATGTGATAAATACTGTATCACTTTTTGGGAACTTTTTTTCAACTGAACACGGGCTTACAGTTGCATTCCATCCAGACTAGATAAAGCTGCTTTGTGTGTGAACGCTGTGGATCAGTGACCGGCATATATCACTGTTTGGACAGCAAAGCTGAGTTGTAAAGAGGGGCCTGGCTCTTTTGATGAACGAAACGAAACGACCAGGCGTCGGTACCAGTTCCTCCCTAAAGTTTTCCTCCTCGTCACATTGTATGTTTGAAGACATACACGGAGTATTAAATATAGACTAAAAAATAATTAATTATACATATTACAACTAATTTGTGAAACAGAATTTTTAAGCCTAATTAGTTTATGATTTGATGATGTGGTGCTACAATAACATATGCTACTGATGAAATAATTAGGTTTAATAAATTCATCTCACGGATTATTGATGACTTCTGTATTACTATATGAACACTCACATGTAACACCTCCGATTTAATATTAATGTGACGTTACTAAACTTTACTCTCCACCTGCATTACATTACAGGTCTCGACTCGATGGAGCTGTTATTATAATACAAGTATCTCATCGGCTCATCATGGTTCCGGCCGCTGCAGATCCAGCGCTCTAAATTTTCCAGCAAAATTCCAGTGATTTATTCCTTTCCTTCTTTTACTCCCCGAGATGACTGGCACTGCTCTGCTTAGGAAACAGAGTCTGGCATTCCGAATTCGTAGTAGCTTAGCTGTTTGATTGATCTTACCATTCATCAGCAACCACAGATTAATCTTACCGTTCATTCAGCAACCACAAGATCGGCGCGTCCGAAGACCATTTGCGGGGCAAAAGCAGCTCTGAATGAAAGCAGTGAAATGCGTGGAGAGTGAAGAGAGGCAGCAGAATTCAATTGCGCTTGCACACTGGGGCCTGCCAGGAGCTACCTACTAACAAACCAATCAATAGTTTCGAGGAGCATCAAACGGTTCTTCCTCGATGGATGGATGGATGGATGGATCGGTGCCTGCCATTAATTCCAATTCTAATTCTAATTCAGCAGTTGCTTGCTACACCGGAGTAGGTGCTAATTGAACTCCACCGGAGGCGCGTTTAGTTTAGGTAGACCTTCCACAAGGAGCCGAGCCGTATTATGCGTCGCCTTAATCATCGTCGAACATGGCCGTGTCCCCCCAACAACACCTCCCCTCTCTCCATGACTCCATCCACGTGGATTTATATATATACGAAGCGCCCAGGCGAGCGAGGCAGTGGCAGTACAACCCACGCACACGCACAGACACAGCTCAGCATCGCCTCCAGGATGCCGGAGCGGAGTCCCATGGCGAGTTCCTCGAGCTGGAGTCCCAGAGCTCGCTTCTCCGGCACCGCAGTGCTCGGCATTGCGCTGCTCGTCCTCCTCGCCGGCTGCGCGGCCAATGCCAGCGCGTACTACCCCGGCGGCGGCGGGGACATGCGGTACCAGTTCCTGGCGCAGCAGAACGCGGCGCGCGCGTCGATGGGCCTGCCGCCCCTGGTCTGGGACGAGCGCGTGGCGTCCTACGCGCGGTGGTACGCGCAGTCCCGGCGCGGGGATTGCGCGCTGGTGCACTCGTCGGGGCCCTACGGCGAGAACCTCTTCTGGGGCAGCGGCACCGGGTGGGCGCCGGCGCAGGCCGTGGGCGCGTGGCTCTCGGAGCGGCCCCGCTACGACTACTGGAGCAACAGCTGCTACGGCGGCATGTGCGGGCACTACACCCAGATCATGTGGCGGAGCACCCGCCGCGTCGGCTGCGCCGAGGTCACATGCTACAACGGCAGGGGCACCTTCATCACCTGCAACTATGACCCGCCGGGCAACTACGTCGGCGTGCGCCCCTACTGACCGGCCGGCTGTCACCTGCCGTCGCCGCACCTGCCTGCACAGCTAGCTAGCTGGCCGGCTCGATCATGGCGCAGCAGCAGCCTAGTTCAGCTGGACGTCTCATCTTTGCTATTGCTAGTACTATAATATCGAGATGACATGATACAAGTGTACAAAATGAATGCATTATTGTTGCCTTGCCACCGTTATTATTTATTACTAGTACTACATTTGCTAGCGGAGTAAATTATTTTTGCCCTGCCAGCCGAGTGTACGAAATGCGTAAAGGTGGACGCGTCGTGTGGCTGTTTTGGGGCGATGGATGGATGCGCAGAAATCCCACATGTTTAATGAGGGGAGGCCGCCTCTGCCTCGGCTCGGCTCTAACTCGGCGGCGCCGTGGCCCGCGTGTCTGCTGGCTGCAAAGCCTCGAGCATTCACCCACGACACGAATCACACGATCCATGGCCATGCCCGCTACCGATTGGCAGCGCCGGATGGACGACGGACAAGCGAAGCGAGGTAGCCCTGGTCCATGGCCGTGGCCCGGCAAACAACAGCCCCGGTCCCCGGGCGTGCAGTCACAGAGACCTGCCGCTGCGTATCGGACGGGTCAAAGTCAAGGCGTCAAGCCCCAAGGAATCCGAGAGCTCCAGCCTCTAGGAAGCATGGGCAGTTTTTGCATTGCAGGGTCGCACGCAGTTGGGAGTCGAGGTGCACTGGGATACGGGCTCGCCGTGCGTCAAATGTCAACAGCACAGGACAATTAAAGGACGCTGGCTAGCTGGCTGGCTGGTTTGTCAATTGGCAATGGCGAAAAGAGGAACGTGCATGTGCTCCTGCAACGCAAATATAGCTTCTCCCCAGCCCAACTGCCCAAGCCCAGCCACTGTTGCAACATGTGCACGTTGAAGGAAAGGAGAGTAATGCACAGCAGCAGTGCAACACATCCATCTGATCTCAGGAAAGGATGCCGTAATGCGTTGCAAGCAATGGGGTCTCGAGTCTCGACTTCTCGAGTCCAAAGCGCTGACTTTTCTTATAATCCGTATTTTACAATTTATTTTTTAAGTCAGAACAGTGTTTTTCTCTCGTAACAAATCAGCCGAACAGTGTTTCGACATGTTTTTTTCAACGAAGCGAACGAGGCCTCGAAAGAAAGAAAACCGTTGACAGCGCTTTGCTGTGTTTGCGTGTGCCTCTTCACTGTTTTTCTATTCCTATTCCTATGTACCCTACGAGCTAGAGTCCGTTCGCGTGTCCTTAAACTCAGCTTGATTCGCTTTTTTTTTATTCGGAACAGCGTTTTTCTCTTACAAATTTCTCCATATTTTTTCAGATTCCTCAAACGAACGAGGCCTAAAAGTACATGCAGCAACAGTAAACAGTGTACGAATTACTGAGCAGTACTACTTCAGTCAGTGGTAGATATGCTGGTGCCCTGTGGGAACCCATGGCTAGGAAATGCTGTGAGCCTTTAAAAGTTACTATTACAACGGATGGTTATATGGTTTCGTTCGGCTTATCTTATATCTGGCTTGTTCGGTTTTTTTTTAGTCGGAACATTATTTTTCTCTCACAACATTTCAGTCAGAACATTGTTTTTCAGCCAAGATTCAGCAAGTCGAACGGGGCCATATGAGTCCACTGAATTTGAATGCATGCCCGTCTGTAATGTGTTGGTCAAAATAAGCGAGAGACCTGTTCGTTTGGCTTATAAGCTATACCTTTTCAGCCAATAAATAGTATTTTTCTCTCGCAATAAATCAGCCAACAATCGGTCTGTTCGTTGGTTGGTTTCTAAGCTGATAAACTCGGCTAATGCTAATTTGTTGTGAGAGAAAAACAATGTTGATTAGCTGATAAACCATGTCTAAAATCAACAAACGAATAGGTTAAAAATATTCAGCCATGGTTTATCGGCTGCTGAAAAGGGCAACGAATAAGACACATCCACACAGGTTCTCCGTAATAGATAAAGATAATGGAGTAGGAGTAGTATATAATCTTGGTGTAGTATCGAACAAGCTCGCGCACTTTTCAGATGGAGTAGTATTTGTACTCGAATGCTGACATGGGCTTATAGGCATGTCCGTATATGCCTGGCGTGCGTGAGCATCAGCAATTCAGCATGATCAGGTCAGCTGGTCAGACCGCATTTTACAATACTGCTACCTTAGGTACGTAGGGCTACACGACATACGGGCCCAGCGGAAATCGTAAAGTACCCCGCCCGCCGCCCATTCCAGCGCGAATGGCGCTCCTCCATGGCTCCATACAAAACATGGCCAATTCCCGCGCCTCGCCCGCCCTCATGTTCTTCTCCCCATGAGCCATGTGCCACGTGCCTTGCCCGGTTTTCCCCTGAGGCCCTGATGGATGATGAGAGCACACTTGCCGTTGGCCCGTTGCCAAGATGCGAGATGGCACTGCCTACCTCGTGTAGCTTTGCTTCTCACACATGACATACGTCGTCCACGCAGATGCACCGCAGATCTGCAGAGATAGGGAATTTGGCCGCATGCCCGCTTGCATAACGCGACGAGCTCTGCGACCTGTTTTCATCCGGCAGTGCATGGCTATGGCTCCCCGAGAACTGGGCGCCTGTGCAGTGTGTTTTGTAGCTCTTGGCGATCGGATCGTCGTCTGGCTATAAAAAAAATACAGGTGGTGGCAGTGTTGCATACGTACTCACGTACATCCGGAATTCCGATGGCAGAGGAGATGCGCGAGGCAGGGTAATTCGCACGCACGTACTCGTACGTGTTACCGGGGGCACAACACAACGCGTCTGTGTTTGAGTGATTGTGCCACAGTGTCACCTAGTCTGTTCCTGGCCTGGTGCGGCCAGTGCAGCAACCAAAGCCAGTGCCCAATGTCTCCGTACGATGAGGCCATGGCTCAGTGAATTTCAATACGTATGAGCATGGGAGCGCTCGCGACCCAGATCCAGATCCCCTCGGGCCCCTCCCTCTGGCCTCCGGCTAGCTCGCCGCAGCGGCAGGGACCCCCCCCTCCCTTCCTGGTTCTTAGTAGCTAGTAGATGTAGAGCAGTAGATGTCCCTGAGATGGGTGTCTGCCTGGCCATCGTCGTTGCTGCTGCAGTCTTCCTCGGCATCTTCCTCGTCGTCGACAACGTCTCCGCCATGGTTAGTATAAATAAAATAAATCCGTTCTCCTGCTAAGCGGATCTCCCCTCCTCTACCTCCTCTCTCACCTCCACTCACCATCACCGAGATCCGTTCTTCTCCGCTCCGCAACCTTCCCCGCACGCCTCCACCTCTTTCTTGCAGCCACCAGTCCTGCCGCTCCCTGCTTCAGCCAAGCAGCTCCTCCTCTGGCGTTGGTTTGACAGCTCCGCCTCCACCTGGGATCCTGGCTTGAGCCTTTTCTATCTCCGGCGAAGGCTTCAACAACATCCTTCGGTTGCCGGCGTGAATCTCCTTCGACGGCTTTCACTTAAACAGCCCCCACTCCCAATCACACGGCCCAGTAAGAAGAGCGTGGACCTACAGGTTCTTTTTCATCTACGGGGCCCAACACTCGGCCTGATTAGACGCTTTCCTTGGAGATAATGGAGAATTGGAGACCGATGCTATGACTTGACTAGCTACAATGTTTGATGTGCTACCAAAGGAGTACATTGCAGGGGTGGTGCCGTGGTGGTGACCCTGTGGACAATATGTTACGTGCGACGGAAGGCAATTCATGAAAACGTCTATGGCAGCCCTTTTATCCACGCATTGCTTTGTGGACAGGTTTATGTCAGAGTTGGAAGAGGAAAAGCCAAAGCAAAATCCTGCTGCTCGCGTATCCCTGCAAACCCCGGCTTGGGTTGTCATTTGTCAAGATTAATGTGGACGCAACGTTGTCCAAGAATGAATTGAAGGCTTTGGCAGCGGCGAGCCAGGGATGAGGCTGGTCGGTTCATGGAAGCTTCAGCTCTAGTTCTACGAGGAATAACTGATCTAGAGGTGATGGAATCCATTGCCTGGAGAGAAGGTATCACCCTCGCCTCGGACTTACAAGCGAAGAGCTTCTGAGCGGCCAGAGATTGCCTAAGGCCATGTTTAGATTCCAAAAAATTTCACTCTAAAGTGTCACATCGAATCTTGCGATACATGCATGGAGTACTAAATGTAGACGAAAAAAAAACTAACTGCACAGTTGGGTGAGAAATCGCGAGACGAAACTTTCAAACCTAATTAGTCCATAATTAGACACTAATTACCAAATACAAACGAAAGTGCTACAGTAACCAAACAGTAGCCAAACCCAAAAATTTTTGGGAACTAAACACGCCCTAAATGTCACGAAGAATATTCTATAAGGTTGTTGGTGTTTAACAACCAACATCATGTCACGGGGTCATCGGGACAGAGTTTGGGGAGCTTCGGCGTATGCATAACTCGGCGGTAAACGCGAAGACAACGATTTATACTGGTTCAGACCGCTAGAATAGTGTAATACCCTAGTCTAGTTAGACATGGTGCCTTTGCGTTGGGGTTGTGTATGATTGATTGGATACAAGCAGTGCGCGTCTGCCTCTCTTTATATAGTCCAAAGGGCATGGTGTATTCTTCTAGTGCTAATCGGATACAATTGAGGAATTCTAGTTCTATTACGGAGACTATTTTTTCTAAAGTCTGACTAGATCGGTCCTTAATAGCTTGAAGATCACGCCACCTTATTCCGTGTCTTCAAGTAGACCGTGGGTCGGCCTAGACCCTTGGCGGGTCGTCGGCCTTGTGAGAAACCCTCAAGATACTGGTTCGTCAAAGGCAGCCTTGGAGTATATGGGCAAATCGTTCAGGAGATCAGTGCGAGGAAGGCAACTTTCAGAAGCATTGAATTTGTGCATGAGAAGAGGAAGTCCAATATCGATGCTCATAACATTACTCGTAGTGCTATCCATGCTGACATAGGTCGGCATGTTTGATTTTTGAGTCAATCGAACGGTGTATGTAACTCTTACAAATCTTCTAGTTAAATAAAGGAGAGTGGTGTTGATAAAAGAAAGT